AAGCACATCCTGTCCTTTGTTCTGGAAATGTATTTTCTGAGCAGTGGGCCAGCAGTGAACCCATCCAGGCCCCAAAGTGTCTCATCTTTTTTAGCTCTGTTTTCATTTTTGCAGCACACCTTCCAGTTTTCTAGGGTCTGTAGGAAAACTTCTTATTTATAGTTGATAAGGTGAATAATCATTAAACAACTATGGTCCTATTCCCGTTAGATGCCCTCCTCCCTTTCACAGTCATGGTTAACAGAGTATGATCAACCTCTCTGCCCCCAACACTGCCAGGAGTTTCTTTCATACAAAACAAAACAACTTGGGGGCATCCCAGAACAGTGATATAGTTATGGCATCTGTGTCATAATACATAGCTGCAGTAACATTAAACTAGTTTAAGAAATACTTTTCTTACATGTTAAAATAAAACGTCTTAAATATTTGCTATTATAAATGAAATCTCTAATTTTATTTTCAATTACTGTAACTGGGATTGGGATGCAGTTGACATTTTACTATATCTTTAAATTTATGAAACTAATTTTCTCTAGGAACTTTTATGTCTTGAAATTTGCTATACATGTATAATTCCTTTTTTTAAAAAATGATATTCCCTCACACACACACATTTATACCTTTTATAATTCATCCCTAGATTGCTTGCCAGTATTTCTAGTTGTGACCAAAAAAAATTAAAATATTTAGCTCATCTCTGTCTCAAATGACTGACATGTTTTTTGGTGAATTATAGTAGTGGTTCTTGAATTAAGATATTTTTTAATTGTGTTAAGAAATAAGTCATTAATGAGCAAGGGCTTTTTATTTTATGTTGTTGGTGTGTTTTTTTAAGTAGGTACTATATTTAATGGAGTGTCTTATAGTCTTTTATTGTAAATTTTATGACATTTTTGTTTAATGTAATGAATTATGTAAATACTTTGTGTTGCTTTACAAATCCTTTTAGAGGTAAGGACAACTGGATCCTTTTTTAAAGTACTTCTTTAATGTCTTTAATGTATTTTGTTTGCCAAGATTGTATTTAGGAATCTTACATCTCTGCTGAAAGTCTATTTTAATTTTAATTTTTTCTAGTCTTTTAGTCACATTAGATTTTAGAATAATAAGCCATCGTTTTCTCTGTTTTAGAATATTTCACATAAAAGAAATACTTTGAGTATTTGTAACAAATCTAAAATCAGTCTGACTAGGCCAAATAAAATACAAATTTAGCAAAATATAATATTAAATTCATGAATACCATTGTAACATTTAATTTGACAAGGATCATTTGTTTTTTGTGGGTTTGTTTTAGATAATTATAAGTAATTTGGAGGGAGGGGGTTCATCCCTACCATAAAGTTGTAGCTTAAACTAGTCTCAAAACGATCTGTAGCCTAGATAACATCCTTAAAGTGTTTTTAAATCCTCTAAAATCCTTTAAGCCATCTACCTTTAGTTTTTAAAAATCTCATACATAAAAAGTGCTATTAAATATTTTTGAACTCAAACCAAGAATTAAGTAGAGTTGTTAGAAATACACCAAATTGTTGTTTTCTTTTGGTAAGCATAAAGTAAGGGTACTGTTATAGTAAAAAAAAGAGACTTTGTCTTTCTTCTTTCCTCTCTTACTTCCCCCCACCACAATATACATGCTTCTCATTACGTTTCTGAGATTAACCCTGTAAGATAGAGTTTGTGAATATCTGTTATATATTTTGCAGTTGACAAATTACAGTTTGAACCTCCTCTGAGAAAAGAAACAGAAGCACGGGATGAAATGGTAGGAATTATCACTTTAAAGTATTTTACACATTAAAATTTGAGAAAACTTATAGTTAGGTATACTTTGACTAATGAACAAAGCAATATACTCTTAAGCATTAATTTTGTTAATGTATTTCAGATATTAAAATTTGAAAAAGCCAACAGTTAGGTGTATTTTTTCTAGTGTAAAATATATAATATACCATTTTAACCATTTATTTTTACCCTTGTGAGAGTTTTGAAGAACTTACATGAAGTTATTAAGTTATGTTGTGGAATTTGATGCTCAGCTTTAAGCTCTCAGGATCTTTTTTCTTATTGATTCTTTTTGATTTGTAGTACATTGTTTCATTGCCTTACTATTTTAAATAGTTATTTGTTAATATAGATTCTTTTTCAACCACTGCTCTTATTCTGCAGTTACTATTTAGTCAGTCCTTTCCTTATCTGAAAGGAAAGAAGTAGTAGATAGAACAAGATATTATTAGAGTCAGCCTAGATGTTATGTTAACCTACTTTATATTAGTAAAAGTATAGTTTCTAGAATCATTTCTTCTGTTAATGGATCTCTTCATCTTAACCATTGGAAGTGGTGCTCTTATTATTATATACAGGGTGGGGTAAAAGTAGATTTACAGTTGTGAGGACGAGAAACAGTTTATTCTTATGTTATTATTTCTTAATTATTGTATTTTCTGTACAAACAACTGTAAACCTACCTTTGCCCCACCCTGTATATTGCTGTATAATAAACTCTCAATGTCTATTCTAGTAGGAAAAAATAATAGCATCAATGAATTAATGATGATATGATGTTTAGTTCTCCGTGCTAATGGAGTAGTGATACAAATAATTCAAAGTTAGGTTTTTCTGTTTTACTTTGGAATATATTAGCTTATTGGTAAAGAGGACTTGTTGCACTTGAAGCTATATATTGTATGTTTATGGAACTTCTTGTTTTAGTTAACTGATGAGTATTGACCTATATCTGTTATAAGGTAACATTTTAAACTCTATTTTTTACCTTCATAGGGAGTATCATCAGACCCAAACTTCGTGTTACAGTGGAATCCTTTTGTTGATGGTGCAAATACTGGAAAGTAAGTTGTTTACTAATATAAGAACTTTATTTTACTTGATTACATAGGAGCAGTATTGGGGGAAGAGGGATGTGATTTATCCTAATAAGCCTTCATTTTCATTTTTCAAAAATTTGTACTGTGGTTCTTATCAGTATAAGGTTTCTGACTTTTTATTTTATTACCAAAATGCATTGTTTGTTGATCCTTAAGATTTTGGGGTTTTGTTCTTTAAATTAGAATATAGTATGTGTAATGTTAGATCAGCCACATGATATCATGGGGAAAAATACTATAGTAGGAGTCAAAAAGTCCTAGTCTCACCTCTGCAATGTAGTTACTTCATTTTCTAGACCTGCCTTCCCTCAGCAGTTGACAGGGATAGCCTAGACGAGTTGTTCCAAACCTGTTTGTGCATTGCAGTACCTGGAGAGCTTTTTGGAAATACAGATTCCTGGGCCCCCCAATTAGGCTATAGATCTAGGGTTGGTAAACTGGTTTATAATCCACATCTGACCCGCTGCTTGTTCTTTGTACAGCCCATAAACTAGAATGATTGAAAAACACACACACAAAAGAACAGTGATACTTTGTTATGCTAGAAAATTATGTGAAGTTTAAATTTCAGTGTCCATAGATGAACATTTATTGGAACATAACCATGCTCATTAGTTTATATATTATCTGTGGCTGCTTTCACAATACAACAAAAGAGTTAAGTAGGTGTGACCATTGTATGGTTTGGAAAGCCTACGGTATTGAGTATCTGGCCTTTTACAGAAAAATGTTTGGCAGCCCCTTCAATAGAATACAGTCTTTGATACTGGAATCTTAAGAATCCTGAAAGCATCCCAATTGATTGTAGTGACTGTGTATGGAACCAGTGGGCTAGATCAGTGATTCTCAATCTTTGATGTGCCTGGATGCTTACCTGGAGATCTTGTTAAAATGCTGATTCTGATTCAGTGGGTCTAGAAGGTGCATTTATAAAAATTCCCAGGTGATGCCAATGTTGCTAATCTGTGTACCTCACTTAAAGCAGCAAAGGACTTGATGATATGGCTATTTGAACCTATAATTCACTGTGGGTTCCAACTCTAAAATTCTGACTCTGTTTTACCACTAAGTTTAATTTAGTTTTTATTATATATTAAATGTTGCAAAGCATAACCATAAAGTAAAAAATCCTTTTATTCAGTGTATAAAAATCTCTATAGTTATACTAAGACAATTTGGCAGAATGAGGTGTAGGTTTTCCTATAGATTTTCAAAATACTGTGTGCCATGACCTAATTGTCTTTTCTATCCCCTGAACATAAACAGGTTTTAATGCACATTTAATAGTGTATCTATGTTATAATTTATCACCATCTAAATTGCATTTTCCTTTTTGTATTAGATCGACCTCAAAACGAGCAATACCACCTCCCCTTCCTCCTAAGGTGAGCTATTGATAGATTTTAAACAATAAATCCTTGTTTAAATAATAAAATAATTAAAATTTTAAAATAATGTTAAATTTGTTCAAAATTCTTTTAAATATATCTTAGATACAGTTTTCTTTGAGAGGATTATGGAGATGTAAAATATACATTAAGAAAGATTTCTTATTCATAATAAATACAATATTTTTATAGCTATTAGAAAAAGGCAAAAATAGGTTATTACTCATTTGAGAAAATACTTGGCTACATGGACAGGTGATAAAGAGTTCATTATTTACAATCCTGCTTTATTACTACAATTTGACATTTCCATAGGGTCATAATTCATTAAGTCATTTTCTTGCTTGTTTCTAGGTAGTAAATATTATATGGCTTATTTACATAATTTTATTGCTTATAAAATTTTATCAATTTTAGGTTACAGTTGATTAAAAGTCACATCACAGATTTATGACTGTTTTGGGACAGTAACTCAACTCTTGCTTATTACTTAGCTCAGTGAATTGAACCCTATAGAAGAAAGAAAAAAGGCAAATCCTCCTCCCCCTAAAGTCTTTGATACATGATGATAATAAAGTGTCACTGTTTTATATACAAATTTATTAGAGTACTTTGTGTCTTATTATTCCTAGCCAAGGATAAACAGTTACCCTGAAGACAACCTCCTAGATGAAGAAAAATCATCAACTATAAAACGTTGCCCTGATTCAGACAACAGAGCTCCCCACGTCCTCAGAAGACAGAGTAGCCCAAGTTGTGTTCCCGGGGCTGAGACTTCCTCTATTGGTATGGCTAGCAGTATTAGCAGCTCTGAAGTACATAGAGCTAGATATGTGATCTGGGTAAATAAATGACAGTGAAAACTGAAACGAAAGCTGTTTTGTTCATGTTCTAAAGAATGTGTTTTTTCTTTAGTCAGTTTTATTAATGTTTAAATCTTTGTGAAATTTCTTCAAAATGCCACATGGGTAGGCTATAAATAGATTCAGTCCAATTCAACCCTAATTTGATCCCTTACTAAATATCGTGGGATCTAGAAAGATGAATGGATGTTCTGCCCTCTAGAAATTCAGGGTCTATAGCAGAAGTTATACTCATGTACACATAGCATTAGACAAGACAGTTTGTATAAGTGTCTCCTATAATAATTAACTCTATGTAATAGAGGAGGAGAGAGATCTGAGAGAGACAAGGTTAGGGAAGAGAGAGGAGGTGGGCCTGGCAAAGTATTTAAGGGCTTGGTGAGCCTTCAGTAGGTAGAGACAGTACTGACAGGCATTCTTGGAAAACAAGAAAAAATGAACAAATGTACTAAAACAGAATAATTTGAATATGTTGGAAATACAGTCTAGTTCAATAAGTTAGATTTAATTTTTCTCACAATATGAAAAGAAATTTGTTGTTTTCATGCATTAAGGCCACTGCTGAAGATGCTATGCATGCTAGCTCTGTAGGATCCAGAGAAAAGCACAAAAGATACTTGAACTCGTCTGACAGAGAATATTTCCCAATAAAGGATTACCCAATATTATGCTAAGTGAAATAAGTCAGAGAAAAACAAATACCATATAATTTCATTTATATGCAGAATCTAAAGAAAACAAGTAAACAAACAGATTAGAAATAGACTCATAGATACAGAGAACAGACTGAAGGTTGCCAGAGTGGAAGGGGGTTGGGAGTCTGGGTGAAAAAGCTGAAGGGGGTAAGAAGTACAAATTGGTAGTTACAAAACAGTCATGGGGATGTAAAGTACAGCATAGGGAATATAGTCAATAATACTGTAATAACTAAGTATGGAGCCAGGTGGGTACTTGAGATATCAAGGGATCGCTTTGTAAAGTATGTAAGTGTTTAACCACTGTGCTGTACACCTGAATGTAAACTGTAACTGAAAAATAAAATTTAAAAAAAGGATTACCCAAATGAAAAGCAAGTACTGAGGGCAAGGGAAAGTTGTTTTTCAAGGAAAGTACTTATTCGTTTGGTTATTCAACTTTTAACTGTGATTCTCTGTAGGAAATGGTGATGGTATTTCCAAACTGATTAGTGAAAATACAGAAGGATCAGCACAAGCACCACAGTTACCACGAAAAAAGGACAAGCGAGATTTCCCTGTAGGTATAATGGGCATTTGGTTATTAGTTGTAACTAATGCTGTATTTATCATATAAGGGGCATAGTATATTAAATTGAAGATTTTGAATAACTGAATTTCTAAATGTATAAAATTTTTTTAAGGCTTACGAGGTCTCACAGTATTCATAATTATTTTTACCACAGAAACCAGTAATCAATGGCCTCCCACCCACCCCAAAAGTGCTGGTAAGTAATATTTTTATGTGAATCACCAATTTTTATCTGTTTAGAAGCAGCAGAAGATTGTTTATTTGCTATCAAATATCTTGATCCATTGAATGGACAGATTATAAAATACAAAGGCATTAAATGCATTTGGATATACTATATACCATAATTTTAGTGAGTTGAATAGAATTTGGAGAGTTTCACTTTTTATAAATATGGGCAGTTGGGTTCTCGGATTAGCCTACAAAGACCAATTTAATTTTAATGCGATGATATTAATGGTACTGAGTCCTGTTCATTACATGGGTTAAATATTTTTCTATACCTTTGAACTATATGCAATGAAAAGGAACAAAGAAGCTTCTGTTAATGCTTGTTTCGGGCCCTTCAGCAGGACCTATCTGTAAGGTGATGTAGCCTGTCATATGAATAGGACACTTTATGCATTGTACTTTTTTACTCAGTAAAAGTCTAACATATAGTATAAATATTAGTAATTTTGTCTTTTATCACTGTTAAAGAGTTATAGCACAGTTATAACCACGATAGTGTTACTCAGTAAAATCATCTATTGTTTCTCATTATTAAATGTTAGTCTTAAAGATAAGCAGTGACTTAAAATTCCTAGAATAGCAGTGATTTAAGTAGATATTTTGATAAATTTGGTATTTTTGCCATAAAATATGAATTACACAAGGAAAGAATATGAGATTCAATTGGTAGAAGGGGTTAAATTTTATTGAAATATATGAATTTTGTTTTGTAATGAAACCTTAAGTATATGTAAATAAGAATACATTTAATATTTCCTAATAATCTTAGCTATTTTCTAAGAATATATAAAATTAGTTAATCAAATAAGTCAACATTTTTTTCTTTCTAAATAAGATGGGAGCATGTTTTTCCAAAGTTTTTGATGGCTGCCCTTTGAAAATTAATTGTGCAACATCCTGGATACATCCTGATACAAAAGGTAAAACTTCTGAACTTTTACATACATCTCCAATAAAATATTTATTATGTGAAAGGATCTTTATGATCAGTGAATTGAGGTTGTTTACTTTAAAAATATGACTTAGATACTAAATAGTAAAGGTACCTGCAACAACCTAAGTAGGTAAATAGAGTTTTGGTTTAAAGCATTAGAATTTAAGAGTATCTAGGAACTGTTCCTGATTAAAGGAGACCAAAGAGACATCACAACTGATTACAACCATAATTTGGGATTTTTTTTTAATGTAAAAAGATAGTACTGGGACAGTTAATAGTCTCAGTAAGTCAAGTCAATGGGTTAGATAATAGTATCATTTCAGTGTGAATTTCCTGATTTTGATCATTGTGCTATTGTTATGTTATATAAGACCTTGGTGTTTTTTCTTTAAGAAATGCACACTGGAGTATTTAGGATTAAAAGGGCATTGTGCTTGTATCTTACTGAAACAAAAACAAGTTCAGAAAAAAGAAAAAGTGTGTATGAAGAGAGAAAGGATAAAGCCACAGTAGTGAATGTTAGCAGATGTGGGATCTGTGTGAAGGATATTCAGAAATTCTTGTACTTTTGCAACTTTTCTGCAAATGTGAAATAATGGCAAATACAATTTGTTTTAAAAAAACTTAGGCTGTATTTTTAAAGTGAGAAAGCATAATACATAGAGGCAAAAATTTGGAATCAAACAGATCTGGGTTTGAATTCCTGCTCTGTTATCACTATGTGACTTGGGAAAGATACTTAACACCGTTGGTTCTCAGTATGCTCATTTATAACAAAAAACTCTTAATACAACTCACCTTGTTGAAAGGAAGCAAAGAGCCTACCTGGGTGTCTGGCAGTTAGCAAACAGAAGTCAGGTAGTAGAGGGTGTTCAGGAAATGTTTGTTTCCACTTCAACACAGTAAACACAGATCATATATAATGATCTGCTTTAAATATCGCTATTACAAAGTATAACAGAAGAAAACATTTTTAACAGTAAGGAAATGTTTTTGTGTGTGTGTGTGTTTGTAAATTTTCATTTTGATATAATTTCAGACTTAAAGAAAAGTTAGAAAAACAGCACAAGAAACTCAGGATCATTGATTGTTTCTGTTTTGCTCCATTTGTTGTGCTGTACCCTGTACGTGCATTTTTTCTGAATCACTAGAGAATGAGTTGAGGACATCATGCTCTTCTTCCCCTTATACTTCAATTTGTATTTCCTAGGAGTAAGAATTATCTCTTATATAACCACAGTACAATTATGAAGATCAGGAAATTTATCAGTGATATAATACTATTTTTTAATCCACGGTTCATATTTAAATGTTATTAATTATCCCAATAATATCTTTTATCATTTCCACCCTCCTTTTCCCCCCCAGTTCAAAATTTAAGATCACATGTAACATTTACCAACCAAGTCTCTTTAGTCTTTGTTAGTCTGGAACAGTTTATAAACCTTTCCATCTCTCTCTTGATCTTGACACTTTTGAAGACTACTTATTTTGTAGAATGTCCCTTAATTCGGGTTTCTCTGATGAGTACTTATGCTTAGATCAGGTTATGCATTTTTGGCAGGAATATCACAGAAGTGTTATTGTGCTCATCTCAGTGCATCAGAGCAGGAGGCACATGGTATTCAGCTTTTCCAAATACTAGTGATACTAACATTGACCAGTTGTTTAAGGCAGTGTTCACTAAGCTTTCTCCACTGTCAAGTTACTGTTTCTTCCTTTCTAATTAATAAGTAATTGCTTAATTAATTTCCCAAACTGATAAAATAAGGGGAGATACAGTAAAACTATATAAATATCCTCTTGCTCATCAGACTTTGACCAACTAGTTTTAGCATCCATTGGCGACAATCCATTGATGTCTATTGACACAATAATTTCCCTTCTTTCCCATTTATTCATTTAAGTATTTTTACCAGTTGAATTTATGAATTCTTTTTTTATTCAGTGAGATATGATCTATCACTCTTAATATTTATTTTAGCACTTAAATTGTCAGAATTTTTGAGCAGTGGGAGCTCCTATGTTCTTGTGTTTGGTATGTCCTCCTCATGTTTTTTGAGTACTTCCTGACTTTCTGGCACAGCAAGATTTCTAGACAAGTTTTATAATTTCCTTGCCCCAGAATTAGAATTCACCTTTTCACCTGGCCGGGCGTGGCTCAGCGGTTGAGCGTCAACCTAGGATCCAGGCAGTCGGGGTTCTATTCCCAGTTGCACATGCCTGGGTTGCCAGCTTGATCACCAGTTGAGGATGTGCAGGAGGCAGCTGATCAATGTCTCTCTCATCGTTGATGTTTCTATCTCTCTCTCTCTCCCTCTCCCTTCCTCTCTCTGAAATCAATAAAGATATATTTAAAAAAAAAAAAATTCGCCTTTTCTCCAAGAAGCCCTGGGGTTTTTTTAAGTGGAAAATAATATTTAGAAACCAAGGTCTGTATACTAGGTGTGCTCATAATTTCTGGTTTGTCATAATTTATAATTTGTATTTAATTTGTAGTTTTCTTGTCCAAAGAGTATTTGCAATGTCTGGTGTAAAAAAAATATATAGCTATAATAAAAACTCTTAAGATATGAAAATTATTATGTTGAAAGGAAGGATTGTATAGTAAGATAAAGCAAGAGTGAGTCAGTAACATCTTTTAAAAATAAGAAAAGAATTGGAGAAAGAGTTAAAGATGGAGGCATAGATTTAAAAAAATAATTTTTCTTTGGATAGGTGGGTGGCTAACTCTTAATACTGTTAAAAAATAGAGCCATTATTTTAGTGAGCAATTTCAGAAAATGATAGTAAATTCTGGCCGTTTATCTCAATTATTTTAGATCAGTACATTATTTTTGGAACTGAAGATGGTATTTACACATTGAATCTCAATGAGCTACATGAGGCAACGATGGAACAGGTAATTGAGGAGTTTTAACTAAAGAAATTAGTTTGAGTAAATTGAATAAAAGAAGTATCTTAATTTTAAATGAATTTATGTGGGCCTCAGTTTTAATTTTTATGATTTAAATATTTAAAGAAGTAAAATTGTACATTTTACATGTTCATGGTAAAAGCTTTTTTTCTTTTAGGTTTTGGTAATTTACTGAAAAATAGAAAATAGGTTTTTTTTTACTATTTCAGGCTGTTGGAATTTGGAGGTTAGAGATAAGGAGATGAAAATTGGAGAGTTTTAATTATCTTCTTTTTTTTTCTTCTTTATAGTTATTTCCAAGGAAATGTACTTGGCTCTATGTTATCAATAATACTTTAATGTCATTATCAGGTATGTATATGGTGAACATAATGTGAAAAATAAGTCATAGACAAGCAGAGGAATGTAATTTTAATATGCATTGTTTTAAAATGTTGTTATTCTGGGTAACTATAGTATAGAAACTTTAAGACTTGCAATTTTTTTTTACCAACTTAGAATGGGAAGAAACTTTGAGAAGGGACCCTGTCTTCAGTTAAGGTAGCACTTCCCAAATCTGCCCAGGATCTCAACACCTGAGGAATATCACAGTGATTGTTACCTGAAGCCATGCCTTCCACTCATACTGTCACTGCCTTCTGTTGAGAATTAACAGTTGAAGGGAAAGAATCAGAGGATCTAGCTGCTTCCTTTCTCTCTTTTATCTTGAGCAAGTCTCTCTCTTCCCTCAGTTTTCTTAATTGTAAATGAGAATGACGATAACAATAGCCTCAGAGTTTGCTTTGAGGATTGAATGAGATGATATCCAGAGTGCTTGGTAAACTGAAGACTTCTGCAGATGTTTCCTGGTAGAATTTGTGTTATTCAGGACCACATACTAATTATCTTGGACTGATGCTTTGAAGTCTTATAAACAAGTGGGTTCCAGAGCAACCTATTCTAATTTTGTTTTTGTTTTTCTTTTTTTGATTGTTGGGGAATAGATTTGTGGGTGGTATTTTAAGTGGTTTTTTGTTTTGTTTTGTTTTTTTAATTCTTACTTACCAAAACCTACTTTTTTACATTGAGATTTAAATGGCTACCTAGAGATTTGCTGCTTGCTTTCATTCTGAGAGTAGAGTACAAAATAATTCTTTTTCTCTGTTCCTTAATTTAATCCTAGTACTATTAACTATTAAAATAGTACTCACCCCTTTCTCTACTTTGAATAGTTAAATAATTTTAGCATTTAAAACTTTTTTTAATTCTCTTTGTTCAATACTCTCTCATGCTGTGTATCTCAGTGGATCATGTGAGGATTATATCCCTGCTCTATTTACTGTAGTTAACAGTCAGGCTTGTCAGTGTTAAGTGTACCTTTTAGCTACGTATGTTTTAAAGCATCAGTGCCAATATACAGTCTTACTCATTGATAGGTAGGTAGATCATTATGAATTGTGGCCTAACTTAAATATTATTTTCATAATTTTAAGTGTGGGTGTGTAACTTAAACTCTTCCACTAACCATCACCTAATGAGATTCTCTAGGACTTTATTTATTTGAGCTAATGACAGTATTTACGAAGAGCGCATTATTTGATTGTGCATAAATGGCTTCAAAGAAGCTGGGGTCCTCAAAAGAGTATTTAATCTCTTTGATTTAAATTATGCCTCCCCCAAATTTTATTTACTTATGAAAATAAACTTAAACCCAGTTTTGTTTCAGATCACAGTTCTGAATTGTATACATATAAGATCGCTTTCCTCCAACAGTTACTGCTTTTGTATCTACTCATACCTGTCTTTGGAAATAAGCTTAAAAGCCACACAGAGTACATCTTATATATTTATAAAATAACTAAGGAAAATAGGGAAAAGTTAGCCTATAAATTAGTTCTTTCCACACTCCAGTTAAAATGATCCATAAAACTGAATGAATTAAAAGGAGAAAATATTGTTCTGCTTATGAGTCTGCGTTTGTGTGGATGTGCACACATACATGTACTTGTGGGTTTAGCTGCCTAGCTAGCTGCATAGCTAGTTATGCATATAGGGTTAATGGAGAGAGGGAGGGTGGTTTAATGTTAGGCAGAATGTTTGCAGTCTGAAAAGCTACGGGGTAAGACTGGAGCATTCTCTCTGTCTACACACACACATGGTAAGGCAAAAGTAGGTTTACAGGTGTTAGTATGGAAAATAATTAATAAATAATAATACAAGAATAAACTGTTCTATGTACTTACATCTGTAAACCTACTTTTGCCCCACCCTGTGTGTGTGTATATACATACATATATATGTGTTTTTTAATACTAAAATGATAACTGTTTTGTGTTGTCACAGTACCATACCATGTATAACAAGGAATGAGATGATGTTTACCATATGCCCCCTTGCTTAAGACAGCTATGGTTTTGATTATCTGGAAATACTCCTATTTCCTATTATTTTTATATAATAATCACTGTTACCCTTGTTCTATGGCGTATAATACTTGTTTGCTTTACCTTTCTTAGTATTTCAATCTGTTATAAAGATGTCTTTCACAATCAGTTTTAATCCAAGGTATTTTAATAAATTATTAATCAATAGGTCTGTCCCAGAAAATAATATAGTTTTATAGGATTTTCCATGTTATACTAAAATAATCACACACACATCATTGTAACCCAGTCCATTGTACAGTGATGTTTAACAATTTCTCTTTCTATGTTGGCTTCATTAAGGTTCACGTATTAGTCAGAATATACCTAATTTGTGTATTAAGAAACACAATTGTCTACTTTCTTAAAACTCATTTTACTTAATTATCTTTCAAAATAGTATTAACTGGGTTTTCTGTTTGTTTGTTTGTATGTGTTTTCTATATTGCTTGGCTATTTGAACATTTCTGGACTCCTCATTTTAGAAGGTAATTATGTTTCCTTTTGCTTGGAAATTATATTTTTTCTTCTGTAAATGATTCTAATAAAAATAACATGCTTCTCTTTTATAGGAAAAAGCTTTCAACTCTACTCTCATAATCTTATAGCTTTGTTTGAACAAGCCAAAAAACCAGGATTAGCTGCTCATATTCAAACTCATAGGTTTCCAGACCGCATACTACCAAGGTAAAAAATATTTTGATTCTTCTGGGAGAGAAGGAAATTAGTTCATTTTTAAAACAGCCATTATTCTTTACCCACTGAAAAACTTTCTTTGTCTTAATTTTGAAAGATGGTTTACACTAAAGCACATGTCATAAAATTTGAAAGGTCAGTGTTTCCACGAAAATCACCCTGTAGAAGTTTTTTAGTGCTTATTATTACTATTTCATTTTAATTTTTCAATTACAGTTTACTTTTAATATTAATGTTGGTTTCAAATATACAGCATAGTGGTTAGACAATCATATACTTTACAAAGTGTTCCCCCCATATTTTCACTACTCACCTGGCACTATACATAGTTATCGCAGTATTGCTGACTATATTCCCTATGCAGTACTTTACATCCCCATGGCTATTTTGTAACTACCAATTTGAACTTAATCCCTTTACTTCTTTTACCCAGTCCCCCAACCCCTGTTCCCTTCTGGCAACCACCAGTCTGCTGTCTGTGTCTATGGGTCTGTTTCTATAGAACTTTTTTATATATGTGTATATATATATATTTTTTTTATTGATTTCAGAAAGAGAGGAAGGGAGAAGGAGAGAGAGATAGAAACATCAATGATGAGAATCATTGATCGGCTGCCTCCTTCATGCCCCTCTGCTGGGGATCGAGCCCGCAACCTGGCCATGCGCCCTGACCTGGCATTGAAACGCAGTCTTCTGAATCATAGGTGAATGCTCAACTGCTGAGCCATGCTGGCCAGGCTCTTTAGAAGTTTTATAATACAGATTCCCAGACCCTTCCTCCGTCCTATAAAATTATACTTCAGAGTCAGAGTCCAAGACAGTTTTATTTAAAGGTCCTTGACTAGCCTGATGCAACTAATTCACAGGTCACTGTTTGGAAACCATTACAATAGAGTACATTTGTATTGTCTTACGTTTTCAGAAAGTTTGCTTTAACTACAAAGATTCCTGATACAAAAGGCTGCCACAAATGTTGCATAGGTGAGTAAATGCTGTTTCTTAAACTGATAGCTAGAATGTTTAACATCTTTAAAATTATTTGAAGAGACAGTATCAAACAGGAAGGAAGATAGGCTTTATATTTGTTTTAATAAGGAATTAAAGGGCCACTTGAGCACAAGAATGTATAGTGGGACATGGCATAAAAATGCTTGGAGATAATAGTCCCAGTGCTTTCTCAGAGCATAGTGTTCTAGAGTTTTCTAACCCTAGTCTGAGGCTGTATCTCTGCTAATACCCTACTTTCATTTATTTAACACTTTTATTTAACAGTTACTGCTTAGTGCTTCATGAACATTATTATTATTGGAGTTTAGTCAGCTATGAAAACAGTCCACACACGAACACCCTCACTTCTGATTCCAATTGCAAATTTGGGGGCTTCCCAAAACTACCCTCGTGTTCAGAAATTCTCTAGGACTCACAGAACTCACTGAAAATGGTTTTATACTCATGGTTATGGTTTATTACAGGGAAAGGATATGAATTAAAATCAGCCAAGGGAAGAAGTGTATAGGGCAAAGTCTTAGGAAAAGTATTAAATGTAGATCTTCTGTTGACCTCCCCTTTGGAAAAATGGACAACATTACTTTTCTGGCAGTGATGTATGACAGTACACACGCAGCATTGCCAACCATGGAAGCTTACTCAAACCTCATTGTCCAGAGTTTACATTAGGGCTGCAGAACATAGGCATCATTGATTTGCCCACAAGGCTGATCTCAGTATCCAGCCCCGGATACTGAAGGTCAACCCAAAGCCCCTATCTTTTTTCCATTGCTTTTCAGGGAGGGGGGCCGAGAGAGAGAGATGTAAGAGCGAGAGAGATGTGAGAGAGACACATCAATTGGTTGCCTCCCACACACAACCGGGGCTGAGCCTGCCACTGAGGTATGCATGCCCTTGGCCAGAATCAAACCTGGGACCCTTCAGTCCACGGGCCGACGCTCTAACCACTGTGCAAACCAGCTAGGGCCAAGCTCCTATCTTAAATCACATTGTTGGTCTTTCTGGGATGACCAGTTGCCACTTAGACTCTCCAGTGTTGCCAGTCCCCACTCTAAATCATACTGTTATACTATTCAGTGACCCAAGGTCCCAGGCAAACAAAGATATTACTATCAGTTATGACATTCCTGAGGCTTAGAAAGTACCTCCCAGAAGGGGCAACAAAATGCAGACCTCCTTTGGGGGAAGGTTAAATTCTGTACTGTATACGTATCTCAACCCTAAAACCACCCTGTGATTCTTGTTATGTCACTAGTAAGTAACAGAACCTGGGATCAGACCCAGTCTATGACTTCAGATCCTGAGCTCCTGACTTCCTGTTTATTTTTTGTTTAATCAGTGAGCCTACATATTGACCTTCATGCTACATGGTTCCACAGCATACTCTAGGAGTAAGCAAATTTCGTGAGCATTTTTCTAGGGGAGAATCAAGTTCATATCTGTTATCAGATCTGTGACTCAAGAAAGGTCTGGAAGCTTACAATCTATGATATAAATTCAAATTCATAGGTATATTAAGATAGAGTTTACGGCAAATAACTACTTTTATAATCATTATCGATGGGAGTCAAATTGCGGAGAAGGGAAGACCAGTAAGTTTTTGTAGGTTTTTGTCAAGGAAGTTACATCTTTAGTAAGATGTAAAATAGTTATTTTCACCATGTTTTAACAGCTGTAAACTATACCAAAAATGAAATAATAGATTTCAGTTGCCTCCTAGACCTTGTCTGAATTTTGTCTTTTGGTCAATTTACTTAAGAAACAGCTCTTCAGGTTTCATACTAGTTTAGGTGTTTTAGTACTTAAAATACTGTTATTGTAAAAAGTTCCTATGTTTAAGGATGTAGTATATTAAAGATGTTTAGAAGTAAATGTGTATAATTTTAAAATGAGATAAGAAAGTGAAAAGGAAAGGGTAACAGAGCCCCCCAAAAAAAGAGACATGTTTACTTTCTACCCACTCTCTTTATCCTAGTGAACAGAAACAGTACTTTTCCTTTATCAGCTAAATAATTGCTTCAGATAGTTCTTCCATCTACGAGGGCCACATTTCCTTGTTTCTCCGTGTAGATTAGCATTGCCTTTATAAAGAAAGATGAGTTAGCTTTTAGGTGAGTCTACCTTTTAGCTCAACTAATTATGGTTTTTTACATATTTTTGCTTACTTATTTTTCATTTACAGTTTATATTCAATATCATTTTGTATTAGATTCAGGTATATTGCATAGTGGTTAGACATAAACCAGTTATGTTTTCATAGAAAGGTATTCAGTGTTTTAGGTATGTCTGTTTTGCTTCTTTCCAGTCAGAAACCCTTACACAGGACATAAATACCTCTGTGGAGCTTTACAGTCTGGAATTGTTTTACTTCAATGGTATGAGCCAATGCAGAAATTCATGCTGATAAAGGTATATGTTACTTTGTTTACATTTTTCTTCTTGAGAAAACTCTAGTGTGCAACTGAAGTTAAAATGTTAAGATTCCATCGTTACTATGTAGGTTCAGCATGTTTATAGTTATTTAGAGATAGGTCTTTATTTGGTTTAGGAATTTTTCTTTAGATTTCCTCTTTAACTTATGATAATGAACTTTCAGAAGCATCACAGCCATAAAGATGAATGTGGCCAATTCTCTAAAACATATTTTATAGATTTTTATGATCCTTATGATTATTTTTAGAATTACATCAATCAAGAAAATGAAAGCCTTTTCCATTGGCTTTATTCAGCAGCAGTATGAATAGAGATTGTTTCTAAATTGTGCTTCTCTTGTTTGTTTTCCCAGCACTTTGATTTTCCTCTGCCAAGTCCTTTGAATGTTTTTGAAATGCTGGTAATACCAGAGCAGGAGTACCCTATGGTCTGTGTAGCTATTAGCAAGGGCACTGAATCAAATCAGGTGGTTCAGTTTGAGACAATCAATTTGAACTCTGCATCTTCATGGTTTACAGAAATTGGTGCTGGTAAGTGTTTTTACCGTATGTTAAAATATTGCTTTTTCATGTGAAAGAAGCAGAATGGTTTCAGCCAGTGTAGGCTCAGTCAAAGAAACACTCAGATCAGTGTTTCCCAAGTAAGCCCAGAGAATGATGTATATACAGTTTATGATCTCTCCTTACCTGAGGCAATTTGATACAAATTATTTTACCAAGGAAAAACTTAATGATTTAAGTTTTCTAAGATACAGGGGTGGGGAAAAGTAGGTTTACAGTTGTGATTGCATGAAACACAGAGTTTATTCTTGTATTATTTTTTATTTGTATTTTTTCATACAGAAAACTATAAACCTACTTTTGCCAACCTCTGTGCTTTTCAAATTTTATCAGCTTCTCAAACAAAGAGATTTACCTTTTTCTTTTCTATCAGTTTTTCCCTTTACACTTCCTAGAATCATTGAGTTCAAGTGCTTTTCATGTGTGGCCTCCACGCTTTACCGTTTAAAGATACATGAACATATCTCTTGCACTGTTTGAGAATGGTTCATTAGCTTAGGATTTTATCAGACATGTCTTAGTGGAAGTTCAGAGAAGGTTGGGAAGTTATATTCAAACTTTAAAATTGGAACAAGTCGATCAATTTGTTTTTGAAATCTACATAGTAGATGAAATGAAGGGGGGGGGTCTTCATTTTGCCTATTTACTGTTTCAGGTTTATGAAGACATTTTACATAAGTCAAGTAAGCTTTAGTTATAGCTGTTTCATTACTGACTCACCTTGTGAAAAAGTCCATTAAAGTATCTTTAGCTTTTGATTATTTATAGGCCAAATTACAAGAACTCTGTACAATTCAGTTATTGAAATTAATGTAGAACCACTAATGTCACTTTCAGAGTAAGAATCAGTAGGAACTAGTAATATATCCTGGTAAATATTTAACAACAGGTACAGAGAAGTCTGGTTTGTAGCAGTTGCCTATTTCTGTTGTATAAATACTCACACCATGGCCAATTTTAAATTACCAACCTTGATGTCATCTAGCTCACAAAATTCCTGAAAATTTAACAACCCAGTTATAAGCTAGTTACAACATGCACTGGACTATGTCACTCTCTTTATGGACCAAGTCATAATTTCCAGTAGAATAAAATAGGAATGTATTCTGTACACTCCCACCTTCAACTGTAGCCCACATTTCTTTTTAATTTATTGTTTAATACTTCTGGTTGAGTTAGGTGCATACCCTCCTAGCATAGCTAACAGAAAGGTACAAATGACATTGTTTTAGTATCATGAAATATAAGCAGCCCAAATAGAATTATGTTCCTATTATGTAGTTACTGCCAAAAAGAAGGATTATATATAGATCAGTTTACTTAAAAACCCAAGTCATTTTTGACAGCCCCAACTTTTTTTTTGGTTACTATGTAATAATAATATAGAGCAAGTCATTTCATACAGTTATCTAGTGTGTGTTTGCCATTTTCTTCTGTATGATATCTTAGGTTACATTGCTCAAGGCTGACATTCAGAGTCCTCTTATAAAATTTGGGGGAGGGGGACCTTGAGGGTTCTTTTTTCTCTTTTTTTTTTTTTTGAAGATTTTAAATAGATTTTTAGACAGAGAGGAAAAGAGAGAGAGGCATCGATGTGAGAATGAAATGTTGATCAGCTGCCTCCTACCCCCTACCCCCTACTGGGGACCAAACCCAAAACCCTAGACATGTGCCTGTGCCCTGACAGGGAATCAAACCAGCAGCGTTTTAGTGCGTGAGATGATGCCCAACCAGCCAGGGCCCTTGTTTGTTTTTTAATGTCTATACTGTTCTATGCACTTGTAACATTTTCTAGGCTAAAATTAATGCACAACCAAAATTACTTCCTGAGGAAAGCCAGGATTCTGAGGGTAATCATCCAGGTACCCCTCAAGTAGAGGTTGTCCTTATTAGGCTTCTCCGTTTTCACAAATGATTGTTAATCCACCTCCCAGCTGTGTTCATTGTTGAGCACCCCATGCCTGAGTGAGCAACAGTTGTAACAGTTAAAATAAACTATTCCAAGCATATTGTCAGCACTCCGTAAATATTTGTTGAATAAATGCATGAACATAGATTTATTGAGAAAAACTTTTTGGAGGGTTGTCCAAGAGACCAACAGTTTCAGTTCTTTTGACCAGAATTCTCTATGTATGAGCTTTGGAAGGTCCAAAAACACCCCAAAATAATATATAAAACTTTGTGTTTATGTTTAGATGTACAGTTTTTAGGGGAGGGGACCAATGGGCTTCCCAAAGAAATGCAGTGAAGAATGATAGCTCTAAATAATCTAAAAGATTTTCTTAGATTTAGCTAGACCACTCAAGCAATCTGAGTGCCTAAAATGAATTTTTTTACCAAAAATGTTTTGCAAAAATGTGCCATCACATACACACACAAAATGCCATCACATCTATCAGCAGATGTTAAAAGAAGCACCCTTGCAAATGTCAACAAACTTATGAAAATTGCTTCCTGCAAAGAGACTGTTGACAGAATTGTTCATTATATTACTCAGTGTCCTCTTCAAAAAGGAACTTCCACCTACACACACACACCAGGAAAATTTCTCTCTGGTTACAGTTTTATTAACTTCTTTTGCTTTTTCTGAAACCCTGGCTTGTTTTTATCTCAGAGATGCTGGGATTCACCTAACTGATCTTGTTTCCATCGTCCCATTGGTTACTGTCCAGTGCAGAGCAAAATCTAGTCATTGTATAGCATGCATCTTACTTTCTTTTCTGTATTTACCCTTCACTTTAGTAAATAATAAAACTATCTTAGCTGTTAATTAACTGTAATATTGAGCTTTTCTCAGCTCACTTAGCCATGCTTAGGACTTGATGTTTGCTCTCCTAAGTTGACTTACGTACATTTTTTGAAAAAATAACATATCATTTACAAAAGATAATTTGTATTAAATTTCAAAGATTAGCTTTAAATCACAGAAAAGGTCAGAATTTGTGTTCTTTTCTGAGCTCTCATTTTTAAAGCATGTTGTATAACTGTAACCTTGTTTGTTTTTTCACTCCAAGGCAGCCAACAATTAGATTCCATTCATGTAACACAGTTGGAGAGGGATACCGTTTTAGTGTGTTTAGATAGTAAGTACTACTTTAAAGTTTATTCTGAGTATACCACTTGATATAACAAATCTTTTCATGAAAGTTATCCTATTAAACTATAATTTAAGATTTTCACCTTAAGTGGCCTTGTTTTATTGATGAAAAAACATAATTGGCTACAGAATTGTAAATAGTAATTAATTGATCTGTTTGTCATTACTAGTCTCTGACTTTTTTCTTTGTTTGGCCTAGTTGGAAACATTTTATGAGAACAGTTTGCCTTAACTTTGGGTAAAATTCTATATAAAAGTATTCTGTATAAAATTCTGTGTAAAACTATTCTGAGAGTTTTTTTCATACCTTGTAACTGATGAAAAATAGAAGGTATATAGTCATACGCACTTAACGGGGATACTCAGTTCTAAGAAATTCATTGTTCGTTGATTTTGTCATTGTGTGAACATCATAAGAGTGCACTTACACAATCTAGATGGTATAGCCTATTACACACCTAGTTTATATGATACAGCCTATTGTTGCTAGGCTACAAACCCATACAGTGTACTGTACAGCATGAGATTAAATCAAGCACAAGAGAAAATGATACAATTAAGAGATGCTATAAACATACATGTGGCTGCTGCCAGCATAAAACAGTTTATTGTTTTATAGAAAACGTTTTTTTTCTATAAGTAGAAAGTGTACACTAAAATAGCAGTAAAAAGTATAGAATAGTAAATATATAATCCAGTAACATAGCCATAATTATCAAGTAATATGTCCTATGCATAATTGTATGGGCTGTACTGTTATATGACTGGCAGCGCAGGTTTGTTTACACCACCATCACCACACATATGTGAGTAATGTGTTGCACTGCAATATTACAATGGCCGTACCTCTAGGAAATAGAAAATTTTCAGCTCCATTATAATCTTACGGAACCACCATCATATATGTGGTCTGTTGTTGACCAAATCATCATTATACAGCACAGAACTATGGTCCCCTAGAGCCATATAGCATGACTTTTGGGATCTTATCGGTGAGATTTTAATGTACAAATAGATTAGACACCTTCATCTGCTAGTTGTGATTCTTTTGATGTAGGAAGAGTTATTATTGGTAGAAGTATGTTGTCCTGTAATCAGAGAAACAGAAAAAACTTCTAACAACAGGTATTACTTCAATTTTGTAAACAAACCCACCTTATTTTGATGCAGTGAATCCTGCAAGGTGAAATTCACCTAGACTTGGAACTATATTTGAAACTTGGCAGTATTTGCTATGTTTGATCCATTTCAATATTATTTAAATTACTGAATCTGCCCATAGGTGTTCAGGGTTATTTTTTAAATTGTTGTGCTACAGAATTTGCCTATATTTCTGTCCTAATTTCTGTTCTCTGAAGGATACCCTAGCGGATTTATCTTATAGAATCATAAAGATCATCTAATGTTAGAGATAAGTAACCTAAAACTCAAAGTGTTTCATTCACCCATCATTCCTTTTCTAAGTACTTTTGATTCTTTGAATACTGATAAAATTGGAGTATTATTCAGTTACCTTTAAATCAGTTTGATAAATTCTTTTTACTTAAACAAGTAGAAAGTTCTATATTGATTAACCAAATAATCAGATAATCAGAATTTAATTTTAATAATGTTGAACCTTTAATGTTAAATCCCTAATACCTTCTGAGACGTCCACGGAAAATAAATTGTGGTTAATTTTATTCTGTTGATTTATGTATTTTATCCAAAAGAAAAAGTTAAACCTTTGAATAACTAAGCCTTCCATTTCCCAATTATTCAAGGTAAATGGAAAGTTTACTTTCTTGAGGTTTTTTTTTTTTTTTTGAGGAGCTGTATAAGACTTCAAAAATTAAGTATCAACTATGTAGTATAAATTAATTTTAGTAAATGCCAGTGGAGATAGGCCTGAAATCACAAATCATGTTAGGCAGATAAGAAAGCAATACAGAGAAAGATGTCTTCCAGATCAGAGCTAAGATGATTAAATTAAAAACAAATAGGTGAAAGGGAAATGAAATTATGTATAGTCCTCATCTCAGAGTTTACTTATAAAGAAATTATGACCCTCAAGAGTCCTACTTGTTGCCCCTTTGTTACAGTAGTACTCGATACTAAAGTTATGAATGACTATGGATATACTTATATGTTATATAATTTGAAGGGGAAAAACTCAATTCTTATTGCTAAATATATAATCACCCAAGGTAGCCACTTTTAAAGAAACATTGTACTTTTAAAAAAATGAGACTGTAAGTGTTCAGTATATACCATCTAAAAAAGAAAAAAGCAATGGAATTGCCATTTACCAAAGGAGGTGCTCTTATATTATAAAACATATTAATGACAATTTCTCACTGGACTTGCTTGGATCAAGATAAATGGTTGAACTTCATTAAAAATATTGTTCTGTATGCATGTAAAATCTACATATCAAGTTAAATTTAACAGATTTGGAGTTCCAGTCTTGACTTGTTTTTTCTTTTTTTAAGAATTTGTAAAAATTGTAAATCTACAAGGAAGACTAAAATCAAGTAAGAAACTGGCCTCTGAGCTAACTTTTGATTTTCGTATTGAGTCTGTAGGTAAGTCTTTTTTTTTTTAAATGCTATTAGAATACTTGGTTTTTCCTTCATTCTCTACCTATGGTTGTCTAGACCAGTACTGTGTCATAGAAATTTCTGTGATATAGAGATGTTCTCTCTGCTCTTAAATGTATAGTAGTCATTAACCACACCTGTTAAGTACTTGAAACATGGCTAGTGCTACATTTTATTTTTAATTTTTTAATTTTAATTCATTTAAATTTTAATGTAAGTGGTCACATATGACTACTTGCTATCGTATTGGACAGTGCAGGTGTGTAGAAAATAATAAATCTTATATTGTTTCCTAAATATTTAAAACTTGAAATCATTTTTAAATTTTTGTTTATTGTTCCCTTTACTGCATCAAGTGAATTATACTTCTCCCAATTCTTTCCAAATCATGAAGGTATTTGTGTGATATGATTAATGGTATTAGATACGCTATAATTCTTTGTCATGTAAGATTGTGCTTGATGTGTGTTGATGGTTATTGCTTTTAGGGCTATTTCTGTATAACTAACTACTTTCCCACAGGACTTGGAAACTAATAAGCGATTTTAATTTGCTTCCTTGTCAATGAGTGTTTTACTCTGTAATACTCATTGGTTTTATGATAGAAATTTCTCATTGATTGTATGTCAGTAAGTATTTTCCCCAGGGATGATAGAACTTATGAAAAAAATGCTGTGGCTGGAAACACTGAAAAATTTATGATATGATTCTACATCAAAAATAGTTGCAACAAAGTTGACAATTTTTATTTTGGACTTGAAAAATATATATGTTTTATAATTAAAGGTATATATACCTTTAAAAATGTATTTATTATTATTTAGAAAGGTTTCTAAAAAAAAAATTTTTTTTAATGGTTTCTCTCAACTGGAGTTTTGCCCTGTTGCAAAGTATGTTCATCCCTCTGTGTAAATATCTTACATAATTAGGATTTGCTTATTGACTGAAAAATCTAATTTATTGAAGCAGAAAGCCTAAACTTTCTGTGGATGTCAGGACAAAAGGAATTTTGGAACTTGTTTCTTCTTCTTCTTTATGTCCTGGATATTGCATGCCAGCTTCTAAGAGTTATTCTTTTCAATATAGATCCTGACATGGAGATTTTTATAGTTCCTCTTCGTTTTAACTGAAACACACTGGTACCTCAACTTTTTCATATGTGCCAAATTTTTTAGGGAACTTTAATTGTTGCACAGAACTGTTCCTCATAAGCTATCTCTCCCTGCCAGTGAACCTTAGAATAATTACAAGGATCCTCCTGGGTAAAAAAAAGTCCCTTTAAATCCTTTTAAAAATAAACCAGTAACTGGGTTTCGTATTCATCACAGTTAATGAAACTTGTGTGATTTGTTATTGTAAACTTGTTTTATTTTTATTGAGCAAAATTATGTTTCCAACACATTCTTGCATTAACTTTTTACAGTCAGGATTCTAATAAAAAATATAATAAGTTTCAAGCATATGGCTAACTTTCCAACAATCAAATGGGCTCTCTCCCTCATTATTTCTCCCTCTTTTGTTGCACCTAATGACTCCAGCCCCCTGCCAGGAAGGGCCCAGAGGCTCCACTGCCTCCTTCAATTGGTGGACCTGCCCACTCTGTTTCTCAACCACTAAGTAACCCCATATGGGTGCCTCATTGCGCCCAGGCCTATGGGTGGCACCGTGCAGGATAGAGAGATGGACAAGGCACAGCAAGAATAGGTTTCCTTTCAAGACCTTCCCTCTAAGGTCACCCCAGGGGAGCATGGGAGATGGGTCGGGGGCAGGAGGGTGCTGTGGCATGCCACATGGTGGCCATACTGTGAGGTCACAGTTGCTCCTGAATCCAAAGCCATCAGGAACCTTGGCTCAAATCTGTGAACCCACATGTCAGCAGTGGGGCCTGCAAAGCCAGAGTGAAGGCCAAGATGCTCCAGAGGCCTGAGGAGGCTGGGGCTGGGGACCACAGCAGTGAGTGTTGTAACTAAGAGCCCCTCCAAATAAGAATTGGCACGAAGATCATAAATATTCAGAGTATGGTTAAATTTTGGATTGTGAGACAGGTTTATTTTTTTAAAGTAATTTAGTAATAGGGAAAATATGAACATAAATAAAATATGCTTTCTTAATGGCTACTTCTAATTATATGACAATATTTAAATAATGATTTTTTTAATTCAAAAAGCCAATTATATATTTTCATTATTTTATTCGCCTAAGAAAAAAGATAGTATATGAAAGGAAAATTAATATACTGATATCAATTTATGTTTCTTCATAAGTTATATCAATGTCTAATCACTCTGTTGTACAATTGAAACTAATATTGTAGGTCAATGTAATTGAAAAGTTAAAACTTATTTAAATAAAAAGTTAGCCCATGTTTAAATGAATGCCTTTATATATATCATTGCAAACTTGCATGACCCTGACTCAATAAATTACTTGAGTTTAGGCATGGCTTAGCCACAAAAATGTTGGGAACTAGTGGTCTAGACGGTGGAATTTTGCACCAAGCACTTGGATAGTTTTACATTATTGTTTATTAAAAACAGTTAAGGACAATGTATAATAGATTTCTTGTGCTGTAGTTGAGTTTCAGTTCTCCCTTATCTTTTTTAGTATGCCTTCAAGACAGTGTGTTGGCGTTCTGGAAACATGGAATGCAGGGTAAAAGCTTCAAATCAGATGAGGTAAGGTTTTTCAGATTACCTCCAGCGATTCCCACTAAAGATTTTAAATGTTAAAATGTTCATTTTAGCCCCACCGGGTGTGGCTCGGTGATTGAGCATTGACCTGGGATCCAGGAGATCGGGGTTTGATTCTTGGTTGGGGCACATGCCCGGGTTGCGGGCTGCAGCCGATCAATGACTCTCTCATCATTGATACTTCTTTCCCTCTCTCTCCCTCTCCCTTCCTCTCTCTGAAATCAATAAAGATATATTTTTTAAAATGTTCATTTTATACATTTTCTTTCTGAACCCACATTACTATGTTTAGTGCCTTTATTTATTTATTTTTAATTGATTTTAAAGGGAGAGGAAAGGGGAAGGAGAGAGGGAGAGAAACATCAATCAGGTGCCTCCTGCACGCCCCCTACTAGGGACTGAGCCTGCAGCCCGGGCATGTGCCCTGACCCGGAATTGAACTGACGACCTTGTGGTACATGGGACCAGCAAACTGAGCCACACCTGCTAGGGCTGTGTTTAATGCCTTTAATACTGTAACCTGGCAGAGCAAAAGTGCCAGTATTATTCCTTCAGATGTTCAGTTTTGTATTGTAAAATTCTCAGTGGCCACATTTCAGTCCTTTAATATGGTTACTAAGCTTGCTAAACTTTTCTAAATTCAAAAAACCTTTTCCATAGTCTAGAAGTGTGTAGCTGCTTTTATAATATTTAAAATTTTTAATAGATATGTATTAGATCACAGGACTAAGGAGAATCTAAAAATTAACTCATTTAGTAAATACTTATTGAGTACCAACTACATGCAAGACAGAATTACTATAGCACTGTAAGGCATAGGGAAGTATTATTACAAATAATTTCAAACTCTTTTAATATCCTTGTTCCTGGCACTTTACAAATATTAACTATTTAAGGCTTATAATCCAGTGGGGTTAGGTACTATTCAAATTCCCATTTTTACAGGCACAGAGTGGTTAAGTAACTTGCCTAGATTTACATATCCTGGATTTTAAGGGTCTCCAAAAATCACTTTTAGCTGAGATAATCAGGGTCCATTTCATAAAAGAGATGGGGAACATGGGCTCCCACCTTGAGAAATAAATTCTAATAGTTAAAACAATACTAATAGAGACATTTCCCATTTGTGTGAGTACCTGTATAATCCTTGTATACTGTGGCCTCACAAATATGTGGATTTATTTTAAAGCTTAAAGTCTTATTTGAATTACCTGTAGTGTTATCCACACTCTCATTGTAATTATTTTTACCTCTTATATGAATGAGGAATTAGAATGCTTCTAAGAGAAAATGGCGTAAATTGGCTGTCTTTGAATATGTCAGTTTATCTAGTTACTGACCCATGTTACTAAGTGTCACCAGGTCCCTGCATTTAATGAAGCCTACAGGCCTATATTTACTGCCTTAAGATTAATTGTCCTTAGATGCTACTTTCATTGTATCACACCTTTAGTTAGATTTCTATAGAAGATACCTATTGTTCACCATATCAGGTACAAATTTTATTTCCTATTTTTAACTCATCTTGCTGACCTCTTTCTTATTAATAAAGTAATATTCATTTCAGTCCATGATGATTGGAACATTTCTGACCTTAATATCTGAAAATTAGCTCCACCTAGTATAGCACCTAATTTATTTTCTGATTCAAGTTTATTAATTCTACCTTCCTACCTAGACTACAAATTCATTGATAACAGACTATTTTTATACTTATTTTATATCCACACTGTCGTAGTTTGGGTCCCTCCAAAAGCTTACCTTAAGACAAGACTCAAGTACAGGTAGTTTATTTGAGAGTAGATCCTAGAAAACAGGTGGTGGAGTGAAGAATGTAAAATAGAGAGGGGCAAAAAGCCAATAAAGAGCACAATAATGAACTGGTTCTCACTATGGGCAACCAGGGCTTAGTTCTGTACCAACAACTGAGGAATGGTGTAGAATGCTCCTCAGAATTGACTCATTTAAAAGTGGAGGATCTGGTGCATTTGTAAACCAACTGCTGTCCCTCTTAGTTAACGGTTGCCCCTGGGGTGTGAACTCCCCGCATTTCAGTATAGTACCTGTGCTTGGCTGAGTGCCTTCTACAGCTCTGGAGAAGACAGAGCACAGGTACACTCGTGTGAAGCACTGGCACATGGGAGTGTCCACCATAGCACTGCTGGAATTTGCACAGTGACACACAAGAGAGAGCAGGGGATCTGCAGTCCAGCAAACTTGTGTTCAAATCTTGGGTCTACCAGTTATATAACCTTAAGCAAGATACTTAACCTCTCCAAGTCTTCATGTGTTTTTTTCTCTAGTAATATGGGAATTATAATACAAAGAGTTCTAGGGAAAGTGCCTGACCCATAGCAGATTTTTCATAAATGTTGTTTTATCTGTACTAATAGACGGTCAAAAAGTACTACCTGAAATTTATTTCATTTGAGGAATTGAGTCTATCAGAAATTATCATTGTTTAATCATTGCTCTAAATGATTTTTTTAATTATTATTTAAATACTATGGGGACTAAGGTATTACTAATAGGTATTTTCTCTCATAGGTTACCCAAGAGATTTCAGATGAAACAAGAGTTTTCCGCTTATTAGGATCAGACAGGTAAGTAGTGTTGTTTTAATTACCAAAGGAGTTCACTTGTGTTCTTCATTGTACTGTCAGACAAAACTCTAAAAGGATTTTTCAGAAACTTTATTGAAAGAATAGTATTTTAATTAGTTGATTAAGCAGTCTTTTGTCAATGTGAGGATCTTGATTCTAGAGATAGTACTAAGTCGAGGATTGAGAACCTCTGGTCTTCAAGTTCAGTGTAGTCACAAAATAATTGTTTAAATATTAGATACTTAAGGAAAGGGGGGGGTGGAGTTATGACCCCATAAAAATTTTTAGGAGACTTTTGTAAGGAGAAAAAAGATTTTTTGAAAAATGGTAACTAATAAGTGAAAAGGTAAGCCCACAGAGCATGGCAACTCAGTAATTAGTCACAAAAAAGCAAAGAAAGAAAGAATTTGAGGACAGTCTGGTTTTAAAGACTCTAAAATGGGAGGCTCTTCACTTCTCCAGGAAGGGCTGACAAAAGAATTGTGGATCATCCAGCGATCTGGCACAACTAGCACTTTAGCAAGACATAGTATAAGAGAATTCTGCTTAATAGAGGGTAGGCATCATAAGCCATTTCCCTTAGTTACTTGTTTCCTTCCACCCCCTTCTTCCCCCACCCCACCTCCAAATTTTCTTCTTCAGCTGTTCCGTTTGTCTTTCTCCATTCTGTCAACTATTTACCCTAAAAAACTTTTTTTTTCCATAGCATTGCCTTGTTCTGATTATCTTACTTGAGCATCTCTTTGATTTTAAGATATATATCTTTTTATTTTCTCTTAATTTGTTAAAGTGATTTTAAAAATTGTATTGTTTAAATATAGATATTTGGTTCTAGACAAAAATCCCTAAGAATGTCAAAATACTAATAATGGTTAACTAGGCAGCTGGGTTATAGATCATTTTATTTTCCCCTCCTACCTTCCTATAATACATAATATGAAGTACATATTACTTTTTATTGTTTCTGTTACAAAAGCAATAATATGCTAGCTGTAGAAAGCTCATACACTAGAAAAATACAAAGTGTTTATGCAGTTTCCCCTCCAAGACTTTTTTTCTCTTCATGGGTACATTATTTTTTTCCCCCTGTTCTCAAACCCCTCAACTACAGTGTAAAGCCTATGGTATAGCACTTTCTTAATTTCTCTTTCTACTGGTCCTTTGAACTTTTTCCCTGCCTTTGTTCTATGAACAAAGGAGTTGGCCCCACTTCATACTTTTTAAAAGTTTTCTTTTTTTCCAAGTACCTTGAAGAACAGTTTGAATGGGTATGTCCTAGAAATCCTGTGTCATTCCCTCAGCCTTTCTTCCACCCCCTTCTTAGTGTGTTTCCTAAAGCTGTTGATATCTTTCCCTGGCATATAGTAAGCCTGCTTGTTTTTAGTTGGAGCAAGAGAATGAGACTGTCCTGAAATGTTTTCAGTATTTTATATTTATAAATTCATCAATTCTTACTCAGTTTTGTTTTTAAGTTATAAAATGTAAAGCTGAACTTAACTGTACATCTATGATCTTTATGTAATCTTATGAGAATGTAAACAAAGGTATTCTTTCCTGGTTTGATGTTAGTATTTAAAGTATGCAATCTCTGTCTTTACTCTTACACAAACCTTTTGTTTTGGTTTAATTGCAGGGTTGTCGTTTTGGAAAGTAGGCCAACAGAAAATCCTACTGCACACAGCAATCTTTACATCTTGGCTGGACATGAAAATAGTTACTAAGCAATAGAAACTGATCTCACATGACAGGAAAATGAATATATTCCATTGGAAGCAAAAATATCTTAAGGAAATTCAGTACAAACTACACTATGATTTGCTTTAACTGTTATGGGTTATATCTCAAATGATCTGTACTTTAAGGTAGAATTCAATATTTTCTGTAGCTGGAAACAGCTGTTTTATCTCTTGCCACTGTGTGGTGGTTATATCAAGTTTGCTTAATAAAAGCTATGAGATAAATAGTCCTATAGTTGCAGGAAGCCCAGTCTTTTTTTAAAAAAATAATGTTTGTAACAAGGGTGCCATGATATTTTTAGGTAATAACTCGTGATTATCTTCAGAGATAAATTTAGTGACATTTTTCTCATTTTATACCATGTTTTATTCCTTCTTAATGAACATGATTTTATAAAGAAATTATCAAATAAGCCTTTCACTTTTACATTGGCCATTCTGTATGTTTTTGTAAAATAGAATATTTAATCCTTATTTATTAATCTCTTGCTGGAGTGGTGTAATGTTATCTAACTTTTAGCAAAGGAGGGTTGCAGAGCAGCTTACATTTTTTTATAATGTATAAAAATTTTGTTTACCTTTTAAGAGTAGTAAGAGGGGTTTAAAAGCATTGTGTTTGGAGGTTCAATACATATATGCAATTTTGTTTAACACAAGTATTTTATAAAACAATATTATCCAGAATTGCCTTAAAGGGAGTTTTGTGTTTGCAACTACAAATAGCTGTAAGGCATCATACAGAAGATATTGATAATGGTTGAACTGTTGTTAGAAGAGGTATGTATGTAGATGTGACTACCATGTGTATGTATTGTTGACAAGCAGTGTAATATACCTGTGATTTTTTTTTTACACTAGGGATAATGCATAAGAAATTAATCTTCATATATATTATCATCCCTAATGTGGGGGGGGGAGGGAGTATTTAACTGCCCATGATATGTAATTTACTATACCAGAAGGGAAACTGTAAAGCAACTACATGTGTAATCTTGGGTTTTTCACATACGTAGGTATTCATTTTGAGTAGGTTTAAGAAAAAAGTTTTAAGTGAAATTGAATTCCTGATGGGATAGTGTAAGTATTATAAAAACCAATATTGTAAAAATAGGAAATAATCAGGCCATTTTTTAGTTTGCTTCTCTTGTGCTATTTTTAGTATTCAAAACTAAAGTGTCACGTTGATACCTGGTGTCTTAATGCGTTCACTGAGGACAGTTGGCATTGACATGATGAAGACGGAATTAGCAACAGCAAAGTATAGATGTATTTCGAGCAGTTACTTGAGAGGGAAACAGTATAACTATCTCGTTTGGCCTTTAGCAATTCTGTAAAATAGGTATTTTCATCTCTTTTTCAGATGGGGAATTAAGTGGTTAGCAAGGTTAATAGACCCAATTCACATGGCAAGTTAGGGGTTGAACCAGACTGTGAGTCTTGTGACTCTGTTCTTTTCACTATGCAATATGCAAACAATAAAATGTTATGCAAATAAAGTATTGTCCTTTAAAAATGCACATATGATATGATTTCAGTAAGTGTGCGGCCATTTATTTTGGGTATGTTAAATGGGGCCTCTGGATGGAAGGACACTAGATAGATGTAATAGATGCCAGGGGACCATACTCAAAATGAAGTATCTCCATACTGGATACAAAGACCAGTGTCTTCTCACTGATCCTGGCAGCCAGATCTTCCCATCCTAATGATATTGGAAGAGCCTTCTCTGTGCAGTCCGGCCAGTGCAAGTGGAAAGGCCTACATAGATCCTGACACCAGAGATGTCCTAGCTAAACTGCCCAGCTAGGTAACTGTACAGCGAACATCACAGTTGACAAACCCCCACCACCCCATGCATCCAGAGCATAGTGGTAGTCTTTTAGTTCTATGCTATTAAAAATTACTAAACAGCCCAGAGGGCGTGGCTCAGTGGTTGAGCATTGACCCATGAACCAGGAGGTCAGGGTTCGATTCCCAGTCAGAGCACATGCCCGGGTTGCAGGTTCGATCCCCAGTGGGGGCATGCAGGAGGCAGCTGATCAATAATTCTCTCATCATTGATGTTTCTATCTCTGTCTCTCTCTCTCTCCCTCCCTCTCTCTGAAATCAATAAAGGCATATTTTTAAAAAATGATTAAAAACCAGGTGTTATAAAACATCTGAGGAAATCCTCTACTATGAAAGAGAGAAGACAGTTGGGGAAGGGAAGCACTTAGAGAAACAGACTATGCAGGATGAAAGTGTCAAGAAAAAAATATCTTCAGAAAAATGTTAAAACTATGAATCAAGAGTAGGATACTAAAAAAAGGAGCTTTCCAAAAAAAAAAAGCTCTAGGAAAGTATGATAGCAAACTTTAATAATTCAAAAGAAAGTTTAGAATGTAAAGTTGAATTTCTCAGAAAATCAAACAAAAAGAAATAGAAATATTGGAGAGAAAAAGAAAGAAAATTATAAGAGCCCAGGAGGCCCAATAGCCATCTCCCAGATATCCAAACAGAGAAAGAACGAGAAGTCACAGTATTACAAGAAATTTTTCCAGTACTAAAGAACTTCAGATTCTAGATTGAAAGAACACTGGATAAAAAAAAACAAAAAAAAAACACCTACACCAAAGCACATTATTATGAAATTTGAGGGGCATGGGTCAAAGAGAAGATCTGCTGTGTTTCCAAAGGAAAAAGGTAGGTCAAATACCAAGGAATGAGACTCAGAGTGGCTTCAGATTTCAGCAGAAGCAGTGCCCTCAATATTCTGAAAGGAAGTTCCAGCCTGAAGTTCTGGATCCAAATAAACAATCAAACCTAAGAGTAAAATGAAAACTTTTAAAAATTAAGTTTATTGGGGTGACATTGGTTTATAGGATCATACAGGTGTCGCATGTATCCTGCAATAGAGGATTGGATAAACATGATTTGGTACATATTACACAATGAAATAATACTCAGCCATAAGAAAAGTCGAAATACTGCCAATTTACGACAACATGGATGGACCTTGAGAATATTATGAAAACATTTTTAGTTACGCAGGGTCTTGAAACCTTTACCTTCCACAGAACCTATCCCGAGTGGGCTCCTTAAGTATCAGCGAACGCCCTGAGGCAGAAAGCTGAAAGAGTGGCTAAATGTGAGCTGAGGCTGAACTACCCACTTCCTCTGTGGCTAAAATCAGAGGTGGGTGGAGGGGATGTTCTTCAAGCCCCAAGGGTTCAACCAGTTCAAAAAATTTTAAGTAAAAACATTTGTTACAGGACAAACAGCATGAACAAAACTTCGTTTCTAAGCAAAAACTTAGATCTAAGGTTGAAATCAAACAGAAAACTGGCCGTTATTAACTCCAGGAAAGCAAAATGTTGTATTAGAAAAAAAAAAACTATGACCGGTGATTGAATGGCATAATGTTAACAGTAAATATTAATCTAATCAAAATTGCAGCATAATTATATTGGGAGAGAACATAGTGTTTTGGAGCTGAGGTAGGCAAGTTTTCTATAAGTCCTCATCTTCCACAGTGGAAAATCAATGGGTGATACCAAAAAATTAAAAATCAAGAAGTAGCTCTTTCTAGCTGAAGCTGAGCTGTGGGCTGGGCATCTCGGGACAACTGGCACGAGCACCGCAAGACCTGGAGCAAGAGAAAGCCCCACCACAAGGAGCGAAAGCATGAGCCGCGGTGCCCTGCTGCCAGCATCAAGGTTGGCACCACCGCGTACACAGCTCACGTGAGGAGGCAACAAGAAGGCTCTGTGCCTTGAGGCTGGACATGGGCAACTTCGGGGGCTCAGAGTGTTGTACGTGCAAAACAAGGATTACTGATGTCTACAATGCATCCGACAGTGACCTGGTCCCCACCACGCCCCAAATGAACTGTACCCTGCTCACTGACACGCCACACAGACAATGGTACGAGTCCCACTAGGCGCTGCCCCTGGGCCGCAAGAAGGGGGCCAGGCTGACTCCTGAGAAGGAAGAGACTTTAAACAAAAACGGTCAAAGAAAATTCAGAAGAAATACGATGAAAAAGAAAGCCAGAATCAGCAGCCTTCTCACGGAGCAGTTCCAGCGGGCAAGACTCTGGCGTGCAGCGCTTCAGGCCAGGCCCCGCGGCCACAGAGGGCCACGTGCTGGAGGGTAAGGAGCTGGAGTTCTGTCTGAGGGAAATCAAGGCCCCGAAAGGCAAATCCTATCTGCGGATTTATAAATTCCCTCCTATCTGAGCTCATGTAATAAGGGTGTTTATTGTTAAAAAAAAACAAAAAAAACTTATTTAGTGACAAGGAAATAGTCAGCTAAAAGAAGGAAAAGTGTTTTTGGGAGGAGAGAAATGGGAGGGCATGGTTTTTTGGTGGCAACTCTTACAGGACTTTGGTTATGTGCATGCCTACCTTTGATTTCTATCATGTAAAAAAATTTTAAGTAAAAACATTCGTTACAGGACAAATAGCATGAACAAACATGTAAGTCCAGCTTCTTACTATGTACCTTACACATACTAGGCAATAAATATTGATTATAGCTCATGTGTGCATAACGTGGAAGGAGACAAAGTAATTGGGGTGGGGGAGGGACTGGATAAGTAAATCCAGAAGGTCTTGTGAGAGAGAGCACTTTCATCAAAGTACTTTTGTTTGGCTAAGCCTCCCATGCAGCCTTCTCTCCCACTGCCCCCATCACCCCGGAACACTGGCACGGAGAGGCCATGATCATCCCACCCTCAGTGCTTGCCTCATAAGGGCTCTCCCATCCTGAAATTCTGATTTTTCACCCAAAATTTAAGTTCTTTACTTCACTCGAAGCACTCAGTTCAAGATACAACTTTTACGTGACAGCACTAAGCCCGAACTGTTTTCTGCTTTTCAGAATTTCTATAGCAAGTCTACATTACACGTTGATGTAACTAACACTCCGTTGCCGCCTAGCAAAACAACTTAGCATTTAGCACTCACCTTAGGTCCCTAGGGCGTCTAGGCCTCCACTGCCTTACCTGTCGACTGAAAATAACGGTCACTTCCCATGGGTGTTAGAGTTAAGTGAGATGTGAATTAAAGTTTCTTGCTCATTGTAAGAGAAAAAAAAAGGCTCCTTTATTTGTCACCAAGTAGTTAATTAAGGGCAAAAAGTACATTTTCATTCTTGAGTTCCTTTCAGTATGTTACACGTTGGCAGACTTATGGGGCTTTTAAAATTTTGCTCTTTTTCAAGTTCCTTACATGTTTTTTCATTAGAGAAATGACTGGCATCTTGTGTCAAAGGTCCAAGAAACTCCCATAACAACCCTAGCAGAAGAGATCATTTTAGGTTTTACTGAGAATTTTAAACTGTTCCCAGTGGACCTTACTTCGGAGAGTAAGAAACATTTATTAAAAATCTATATTGACATCAGGAATGAGTCTAATATTCTCAATCTCACCACTTGTTATTCATTGTCCTGAAGGTCCTAGTCCAATAAAACAAGACACCTAAGAAAAAGTAAAGATAGAAGATTTGGAAAGGAATAAAAATGACATTATTTGCAAGTAAACTATTAGAAATTTTAAGTGAATTTGGGGAAGCAGCTTGGTGCACTGTCAACGTAAAAAATTAGCCTTGCCCGTTTGTGGCTTAGTAGAACGTTAGCCCTTGCACTGAAGGATCACGGGTTCGATTCCCAGTCAAGGGCACATACCTGGTTGCAGGTCCATCCCCCACTCAGTCGGGGCGTGTGCAGGGCGCAACCAATCAATGTGCTTCTCTCACATCGATATTTCCCTCCCTCCCTCCCTCC